ACACTCTGAACTTCTGACCCTCTGTGACCCCTCTGTTGACCTATTGTACTTTGAGAACCACTCTAAAGTACCTTAAAATGACAGTAAGATGTACAGTCCAAAAACATGACTAACATGACATGACTTAGCAACTCCATTTTTTCTATTATTTTATTGCTTTTGACAGCTTCAACCAGTCCTGAGTCCTCTGTTATTGCTGAACCTCTTACTAGCATAGCTGTGTACACTGAGTCACCACTCACCATCTTAACCTAACTTCTTTTTTTTTTCTCCTGCCAACTGTTTGTTGTAGCTACAAAGTGTTTCATTTGAACCATTTTGTTCATATTTTTATCCGGACATGGAGGCAGCAGGCCAACCAAACAACACCATCAGGAACAGAACTGATTTTAGTAGGATTTAATCCTATTGCTGCTATAGAAGCTGCTCAGTGCATGATTGGCCACGGTCTGTGTCGGATCTAATCTCTGTTCCAAGTCTATGATCACCTCCAAAGCCTGAAGCAGGATCAGCTCAAGATGGTTGTGACCACACCAGAGGACCAGCTGCTCCAAATCTTGTCTGTTTGCAGGCTCATCTGTGATGAGGACCAGGACTGTGGTGCTGTCTGGTATCATGATATCACTTCTGTTATCATGAACTATTTAAGAAGAAAACTGCTCAATAACCACCAGACAGTGGAGCAGCTCTTTAATCCATAAAATATTTTTATTTTCCACTATCTTGGTCTCTCTCTTATCGCTGTGATCAACCCTGTCCTCTCAGACAAAAAGCTCTATTGTCACACACACAGCAGGAGGCGAACCACAGCTCTGCAGAGAGGACCCTGACAGCAATGATGAGGTGACTGTTTTGATCTTCACTGTACAAAGCACTCAGCAGGGGTCTATTATCTGATTTCTACTGTACATGCCAAAGATAAGAGAAAATGTCTTTCATTGTTCCTCTTTTTCTGGTGTTTACTCCCTTCATGGACCTTTTTACACCAACTGCCCTGAATCACTGCATTAATTTTATCTTTATCTTAATTACTAAGGTATGACCAAACCCATTTGTCAGAAAAGTGGCTTGTTTTTCCACCATCATTATCCCAAAACACCACATACAGGTTCAGACTGTCCTCTCTTCTTACCAGATCGTTAAAGGTCTAGTGCTCATAAATACATCCTCTGAGTGGTCAACAGACCAAAATAAAGACGGCAACCTTAACACAAACACAAATACACAAATCACTGCAATAGATAAAGACATCATCACAGACTAATATTGTTTATGAGGGATTAGATCCCCAAAGTGGGATGTAAAAGCATCTGAATGTTGCAGAAACAAACTGCTGGATAACTGTTGGTCTCATGAAGTGAGACATGTAAAACAAAGTGCTTTATAAATAAAGTTTGATTTGACACATTTTCCATTTGATTTTTAAAACTGATATTGTAACACAACAATACAGTATAGTGTTTATTAAGGCTGTCAAAGTTAATGCGTTATTGTCGCGTTAACTCAAGTGACTGTTATCGCCACAAATTTTTTTGACGCACGATTAACGCAAGCCTTATCCTGGCTTGACCAAACTATACACACACTGCGTGGATATTCTTGCCATTGTAAAAGGGTAGAGGAACAGTTGGTGAGGTGTCCAGGCTATGTGAGCCTCGGGGCACTCCGTAGTTTCGCCGATCAGGAAGTAGAGCACTGACTGATACCGCAGCAGACATAAACAAATCCCCGTGAGCAGTAACTAGGATATAATGGATAAGAAAACGATTTTGAACAGAAAGTTCAGCTACAAAGCCTTGCCAGATGGCTCTCTTGACAGGACAAAAGTCATTTGTGTTTCCTGTCGAGCTGAATTTAGTCACCGGAGTACGTCTAGTCTCAAATATCACTTGTCGGCCAAGCACACAGCTGATGCAGAGCCCCCCCCGCCCGCCTCAAGCAAACAATGCTGAATGTGCAAGGTAAACAGATGGAGAGCTCTACTAAACGCAAACTTGAAACAGAAATCGCTAAATGGGTGGCTACCGCTTGTCGGCCGATTAGCATTGTGCAGGACGTTGGTCTGCGTGAAATCATACGGATCGCATCCAATGACTGGACATATGAATTACCTTGTAGGACCACCATTACCACGAAAATCCACGATCTGTTCTCATGTTGATTCTCATGTTGATAAAAGTATAACAATTTAAAAAAGATCAATTTAGAATGGATCAAAAATATGCGATCAATTTGCGATTAATCATGATTAATTATGATCACAATTCGATTAATCGCGATTAAATATTTTAATCGATTGACAGCCCTAGTGTTTATACAACAGCATCAACCCTATTGATATCCAGACCTCAGATTTCAAAGCACGACACTTTTTCAGATTAATTTCAAGGGAAAAAAAACATATTTTGGTCAATATGTTTGTCGAATAAATGTGTGTTCTGCTTTGTTTGGTTATTTGGTTGACAATCTTTCTAACACAGTTCATGACACATAAAAAATTGCAAATCATTATTTTGGGGTATCAGAGTAAGTGCTTTAATACTTCTTAAGGTGGAAACCAAAAAGTTTTTGTGCACTTAAATATAAAGTCAATGAAAGACACAAGGGATTGCCCAGGATCAGAACAATGCAAACCATGTTCAAAACCAGCCATATCAAGAAATTCATACACATGTGAATCAAGGTCATCCACAAGAGTTTTCTGACTTCTTGAAATTACATTACAGCCACCTCAAAGTACCTCACACTCGCAAGTTTTATGTCTCAGATTCGTCAGCCAGCTTCATGAGGTTGTCAAGAGGAACAGTTTTCCAGCAGCCCTGACAGAGTTCCCAAAGAAGCTGAGACTAACTGCTTTTTATCACACTGTCGTCCAGACTCAATGCCAACCAACTCAACTGGATTAAGGTTGAGTGATGGTGGAGATCAGACCATCTGAAGCAGAACTCCGTTTCTCTTCTCCTTGTACAAATATCTCACAAAGAGAAGCCAGTTGAGTAGAGCTGTCACCAAGTAAAAGGTGGCTACTTTAATCTAAAATATAAAACATTCTGGTTTGTTTTTCACTTTTTTGTTTATCACAAACTTCCACATGTTCTGTCATAGGTTTAGAGTCTTTAATGTAATCTACAAGATAGAAAATAATAAATCTCTGATATATAGCTCCTGTTGTAGGGTTAATCTAAAGTTTCCAGTCAGGAGGAAGTGCAGGCATGTCAATCCTCTGTGTTTATGTGTACATCAGGTTTATCCAGATAAAACCCATATTTGAATATTCTTGCTGTGTCAATGTGAATTTACAATCAAAAGTTCAGGCAAATCTTGCAGAAAATCGGGACACATTACACTAACACTGCATAAGGAGAAAGGTGTGGAAACAAGTCAAAAGTCACAACAGGTGCCCTCATTTTCTGCTAACAGAGCCAAAGACAGATTGTTAAAGCTTAAGGACACAGTTGACACCACCAATACCCATAATCCCCGATTTGCACTTTAGGTTGTCTGGAGCCATCAAAATCAAAGGAAGCCTGGTTTTCTTAATTCACCCTATGAGCAAAAGAATGGGCGTGGTAGTGGGGGGAAAAGTGGACCTGACTACCCAGGGCCCGAGGAGGGAGAGGAGCCCATGAAAATCCAGATATTTTTATTTTGCTATGGTGCCTCGTGCACTGGCATGGTTAGGGGCCCACTGACATTGAGAGTGTACAGGGCCTAAATTTTGGTGCTACGCCCATGAGCAAAAGCAACAGAATAAAACTAAAAACAAAATCATCGAAAAAACAAAGTATTTTGACTTAGGGTTATATGAATAAGTCAGAAAAAAAGGCTGCCCTTCTTTCCTCTGTGTTTTGGTCAGTGATCAAAAATCGTATTTCCAGCATCAAAGTTTTTTTAAGCATTCTAGCCTTGAGTTGATGTAATAGGTTTATCCATCTTGCTAGATAAGAGCCAGGTGGCTGCCCTAAATGCCTGTCCCTGCTTACTGGCTGCAGCAGCAAGGGAAAGATAAGAGTCATTCATATGAACAATTTAGTGTGACTTAATGAGAGTGAAGCATCATTACTGCCCCCTCAGGCCAGTCACTGCACTTTTGATAATGCTGGAACCCAGAGATGAGATGCATCATTTACCAAATTTCTGCAAATAGTGCAATCAATGGTGCTTATCATAGTGTGTGTGACAAACAAACAATTAAACGAATACCACCCTCTCTCACTTACACACACACACACACACACACACACACACACACACACACACACACACACACTCAAGCCAAAGACAACAAACACATCATGGAGCGGTGGGATAGCTTCACCATCCCCAGAGGCTTTATAAAATCCAGTCAGCTGTGTCTGAGATTTTGTGCTTAACTGTAGAAACGATCAAACAAGCATCTTTTGACCATTCAGCATCATATTGAAATGCCACAAGAGAGCAATGACACACATCATTTCATAAACTTTGCTCTTCTTCATATCAGCCTCATGACACAGAAACTGATACTGAGCAACAGATGGACAGACAGAGCCAATTCACTGCCCTCCACCCATTTCATCAAGGCATACAATAAAAGACAAGTAGCGCAGGCACTCACCCGCCTATTACTCCCCCACGGGCTCTTAAGTAGCTTTCACACTCACTCAGACTTCTAAAAGCAAAATAGCTAATGTCTGAAGGCCTGCTTGCAGCATAAAAGAGACTAATGGTTGCTGTGTGGCTCTAAAAGGAAAAAGCAGTTTGAGATGGTTAAAAAATGGAGCATAAATAGGATGATTTGGGTTATAGATATCAATATAGCCAATACAGTCTTGGAAGCATATTTTATCTTAGTGATTCACTTCACATGCTTTCTCTCACTCAGAACTCCCTGACACATTGGGGCTAGTTTTGTCTGTAGCACATGTTCTAATGGGCATGGTGTTAGTACCAACAGGGGGCAAAGTCAAGCTTAGCCCTCAGAACAACAGCTGATCCCAACACAACTTCTTTGTTACTAATGTGGTATCTGGAGTACTACATCAATATGCATTGCCTTAAGGTATTTTTCAGGAATAGCCTGAGGACCAATTGTGGAATGTGGGTTTGTGTTTTCCTTGTTTATCATTAATGACACCTGGGGTGAGATATCCTGGAAGGGCCACTGCACAGGTCACAGGTCACAGACCACCACTCTAGTTTACTCAAACACCAGAGGGTAAGGAAAATATCCCAAAAACAAAGAAAGGATGTAGGAGGGCCTACAGCCCTAACCGTATATAACAGGGTCACAAACTCTGGTTTGGGAGAGCTGGACATCATTGGCAGTCCTCTCCCAGCAACTGCAGTGCTGTATTGATACTGGTTTTGTCTTTATAATAAACTCCTCTTATACAAGCAAGCCAGTGTCACGAAGCCTCCTTCTGCATCTACACATCGAGGACAGCCCAGACACAACAAATTGGCGTCACGAACAGGATCAGCTACGGCCTCCAGAGGATCACGGCAGCTTCAACGCCTCTATTCCTGCACCACATTGGCGCCAGGTGAGTGTTTGACTCACATAAAGTGCTGCTGGTTTAGTTGTTGGAGCTGTTGTGTTCAGCTGTTAGGCTGTACTGTGTAAAAGTACTTGTGTGGAAATGCTGTGATGTGCTGTTGAAGAGAGGCTTCGTCTAAATTTGGGTAGAATAGAAAAGAAAAGAAGTTGTAGAGAAGATGTTAAAATAGACGAAAAAGAGATGCCAAAAATAGAATAGCAGAGACTAGTAATGGGAGTGTGCTAAATAACCTTGCAAGATTAACGAAGAGGGGCCCATATCTTCTTAACGGTAAGACAATGTGTAAATTAGTGACTAATGTGAACGTCTAGCTCAAAAAGGATAGTCGAATTCGGGGCGTGGAAAGAAAAAGTGAGGAGTAAAACCCGGAGCCCAGGGTAATTGGCAAATAAATGATAAAAAGAGATAAAGGGTGAAAAGAGAAACAGGCTGAGATAGCCTAGGCTGAGATGGCCGAAAAAGAGAAACAGGCTGAGATAGCCTAGGCTGAGATGGCCGAAAAAGAGAAACAGGCTGAGATAGCCTAGGCTGAGATGGCCGAAAAAGAGAAACAGGCTGAGATAGCCTAGGCTGAGATGGCCGAAAAAGAGAAAAAGGCTGAGATAGCCAGGGCTGAGATGGCCGAAACAGAGAAAAAGGCTGAGATGGCCTGGGCTGAGATAGCCGAAAAAGAGAAAAAGTTAACTTAATGTTAGGGAAGTCGTGATTGGGCATACAAACCGGTAAGGACAGTTTAAAGAAAAAAAATTAAGTTAACTTAATGTTAGGGAAGTCGTGATTGGGCATACAAACCGGTAAGGACAGTTTAAAGAAGAAAAAAAGGCCTATAAACTATAGTAAGGAAACATTGAGCTCTGTGAGGAGAGGTGTGTTGGAATTTCCGTGTGTGAGAGAAGCTTCTGGTGTGTGTGTGAGGAGTGTGTGTATGGGTGCTGCTGTGAGTGTGAGTGCAAAAGAGTCTGTGTGCAGTGAGTGGCATGTGCACAAAGTTGGGGAAGTGTCTAGCATAAATATAAGTGATTAACTCATGATAAAGTGATAAATGATGTCTTATTAAATATATAATGATATGATATAAGAAATTAACATATAAGGGAAGAGATACTGTTGTCTTTGTAATGTTAAAAAACATATGAGCCCTGGTTTTCTTTGTACAGGGACGTTAATAGAACAAGTAACTGCTATGAGCCTCTCAGGATAAAGAGGACGTTAGTACACCTAATAATAAGAAATGAGCCTCTTATTAGATGAGGAGGACTTTGGATGGTGATAACATCCTTAACTAATATTGCAATTAAAGAAGTGTAAAAACCAGCAAGCACATTTGTGTTCATACAGATACAGGAAAAAAACAGAGTAAAAGATAGGAGCGATTTGCTAACTGATGGGTGTGGTTTTCCGCTGTGTGTGTGTGTGAATATTTGAAGTGAAGGGTCACTTGCTGATGATTATGTTTAGAGGGAAGTCCTAGTTAAAAATTAGGAAAAATCTAGGGAGCTTTTCCTCCCCCTTTCTTTCTCTTCTTACAGGCCTGAGAACAGAAAGAAAGCTAAAAAATCTAGTTTAACTATCCTAGATGTGTGAAAATTTTAAATGGTATACCATGGTAAAGGGGAATGATGTATAATAAATTTAGGTAGTCTGATAGTAGAAGAAATCTTTAAATAATGGTAGTAAACATTTTAAATTGTATTGAATGAAGTGATTGTGATATACTAAACATTTGATTTGTGCTTGTCCCTTTCTCTGATGCATGAGAGGGGAGAGAAGAATGAAAGGCATCTGACGTTGGAGCACCCATAAGACAGATAAGGAGATAATTGGCTGTGCTGCAACAAGAGGGGGCTTGCGGATGAGAGGCTCACCAGGACCTGCTCCCATTTGACAGGCCAGTACAGTTTTATCTACAAACTCTTCTCCGATGCATCTGCTGCTACTTAGTTGTACATACACACATTTATAGTGGGAACACAGGTAGTTGGGTGTATACATTTGGTAATGATAGACAATAAGAGCAGTAGTTTTGTTGGTAAAAAGGAAGGCTTGGCAACAGACTGACCAGTTTAAAGGGCTAATTAAGTACTGTAGTATTGTTGAATTAAAAGAGCATTTCCAAGAGGTCTAAAATTTTGCTACAGCGTGTGGATGTGATTTGTCATTGCTGCTTGATAAAATCACACAAATTGATCCTTTTTGGGGGTTGATAAGTTTTAAGTCTCTGGGGCTGGCAGATTTCTTTGGCTTGTCTTGGTTTAACGTAAATTAGCTAAACGGCGCTGTGAATAACGTGTTTGGTCATCTGTTAGTGCTTTTGGGTCCTGTGAAGACATTTAAAGGCAGTAGCACAATGCCAAAGATGGACGTTAAAGGTGTGAAATGTATCACTCCAGTTGATGTAGTAATGAAGAGCAATCCACTTGTTATGGGTATTGAAAAAATGTCTAAGAAATGGAGTAAGAGGTGGCCTGACATTGACCAGCCTTGGCCAGTGGAAGGTACCCTTAATCCTGAAGTGGTTAAAACAATGCACGTGCTAGTGTCCACCTATAAGGCAGAGCAAAAGAAAGGAAAGAAGGGAAAGAAACGGCAAGAAAAGAGACAGAGGGAGCTTAACATTTTGCACTTGTTTGAGCAGGAGGGGCAGAAAATGCTAAAAGCCGATAAGGAGAGAAAAGACAGGATTGTAGAAGAAATAAACAAAAATGTTAAATCAACAGAAAAATTGATGGCAGAAGTGAATAAACCTTTCTCACACACAACCCCAGTGAAGAGCCCCCCACCGTATGAGAAAGAGATTCGGTACACTGATGTCTATCCTCAGCTCCCCGTGATTAAACAGGAGGGCGTGTATCACATCAAAGACGAGGAGAAGCAGATGATAGAGACAGGAACAGCTAGAACAACTATAAAAATGTACCCAAGCAGGAAGAGTAAAACGAATACAGGTCATCCAGCAGCTAGGGGTGAACAAAAATACAGAAAAATAGAAATGGGAGATGATAGTCAGAGTGATTCAGAAGAGGCTATTGGAGGATACGACCCAGCAGTTAGAAACATATTAGCCAGAGCAGAGAAAAGAGGAGGAAAATCACTGAGGGAAAAAGGGCCAGCAAAAGACACCTCAGAGGAGAGTGAAGATAATGATAGGGATGAAGAATCAGACAGTGAAGAGTCTTCATATTCCCTTTGGTCAACACCAAGGACTGAAGCTGAGGAGAGGCACAAGGCGTTGAGAAGGATTGAGAAACGCATCGACAAATGCTATGGCAACCTAAGTAGTGCTACCAGTCCTGAAAAACATAGAGAAGTGAGGGAAGAATTAGAAGAGCTACAAATAATAAAGAATGACCTGAAGAAAAAAGGAAGTGAAAAGCCATCCACTTCAGGGTATTCCTTACGCCCAAGAAAAGGGGATAAGCCAGCTGGGAAAATGTGTCCAGTTATTGTTCGGGGACAGAATTTGGAGTACAAGCCTCTGCAAAATACAGACATGTCAGACATTCTTGAAAAGTTACCTACTCTTCAGGAAGGAGCTCACCCTTGGATTTCCAAGTTAGAGGAAATTATGGTGGGATGGCAGCCTGCTATGGGAGACATCAAGAGACTCCTAGCCAGCATTTTAGGGGTCCCAGCTATGGAAGAGATCTTGCAGAGAGCAGGGCTTAACCGGTATGCAGGGACTGCGGTAAATGACCCAGAACTGTTTGCTGCATGTAGAGCTCGGATGTGGAGATCACTGAGAGATGTATTTCCAACAAATGTACATCCAGATAACATTATAATTGAATCACTAGGACCACAAGAGAATCCAAGAGCTTATGTATCAAAAGCTCATCAAATTTGGAGAAATATTACTGGAAACGATCCAGATATGCACCAAATGGAGCAGTCTATTTTGCGAGCCAAAATACAAAAAGGGTTGCCCCAGCCAGTGATAAATAAATTAGAAGAGGTGGTTGGTCTTGGTAGCATGACAAAAGGGATATACACAGACCATATAGCACATCAAGTTGAGTTGTACAGGAAGAAAGAGAACAAGCAGAGAGAGCATGATCATGAGATCCTGAGACAACTTAACCAGATACATTTGGGAGATAGCAAAAACAAGGAGAAGAAACAAGCTTTGGTTATGCAGAGCCAATCTCAATCAGAGCAGGCAAAAATGCAACTGCAACAGGAACATATGCAGGACCGACCACTCCAGCTGACGCCAGTAGCTCATTTAGGTTCATATGCACAACCAGCCTTCAGTCAGGGGCAGACATGGAGTGGAAGCGGTGAAGACAGAAACTTCAACCCAAACTTCCACGCATTTTCAGAAGCATGTTATAGGTGTGGACAACTAGGTCATTATGCACTTGACTGTTATTGAGTAGAAGAAAGCTCTATCAGAGGAATCATAAAAGGGCTGATGGTGACACCTCCAGACCTACTTGGATTAACGATTCAGGAGGCCAAAGTTAGCCAATGATGCAAGGAGGGAAGTTACAAGAAACATCATAAAGGAATAGGTTTTTGGGCACCACAAATTTTTGATTATGCCATAAGTAGATGTACAATCTAGCTAAAAGAATAATGTTTGATGGGTTAACAGTTGAAGCTTGTCCAACCAAGCAAAAAGATGCTCAGTATGTTGCCAAGTTTTTGTGTAGGGAGGTCATAAGCAGATGGGGACTTTCAGAGTAAATATTCGAAGATAATGGAGAAGAGTGTGTGGATAAAACAGTGAAATTGATTTGAAAAACTAAGAATTGAACACTGTTTAAGAGCTCTGTACCATCCGCAAAGCCAAGGTATCTGTGAAAAAACAAAAAAAATGAATGGGGTGATGAGAAACCCTATGGGTAAGATTGGCCAACACACAGGTTTACATTTTGATGATGTAAAGGGGAGGTATTACTACATGTCAAAACAAAAATTTATGTTTTCTGGCAAGGTATTGCTTAATGTTTTCATCCCCAGGACAGCAGTTGGGGAGACCAGCTAAAGAAAGGTGGTTCTCCAGACATCTAAACAGCCTAATGGACCCACACCTCCCAACAAGACAACCAAACATGGACAATGTAAACACAACTGAAACCTGACAGAGGATGTGAACAAGGACATTGCATTGGATACATAAACGGAGGAAACACCCATGGACAAGAACACTACACAAGCAGCCAAGGATGTTAAGGAACAAAAATGATTATTCATTTTAATCATAGAGTTTGTTAATGTATAACCTGGGATTGAATGTCAATTTATCTCTCTGTGTTGTATTTTAATGGTCATGCAAATACCAAACAGCATAGGAAGAATGGAAAGTATGAAAGGGGGGTTTAGTTATTCATAGCCTAAGTTGTAAAATGAATGTATTGGGATCTCAGTTGTTTTCTTTGTTTTCTCGTTGTAGGATCAGTAATGTTAGGCAGGGATAGATCCACCGGAAGGTCCGATGGGAAGACCAGCTTGACTGTGGATAATTTTAAATTTTATTTCTGAGATTCCCAAAGAATATTTGCGCCAAACATTATTTTCATATAAAGTTTAACCCCTACCTTTCAATTGGATTGGAGTACAATAGGTGGTCGCCTAGGGCAGAGGGACCGTGAGTGACTTTTTCCTGTCTAGATTGTCTGATGGATACGAATGGAATGATAGCTGCCTGACAGGTTTTCGCCCTCACACTCCAAAATTTTAGCAATAAATAGAAATTGTAAACATTTCTTCGCCTTTTTCGAGACTCTTTGGAGTCTCGAAGGGGGGAAATATGTGGTATCTGGAGTACTACATCAATATGCATTGCCTTAAGGTATTTTTCAGGAATAGCCTGAGGACCAATTGTGGAATGTGGGTTTGTGTTTTCCTTGTTTATCATTAATGACACCTGGGGTGAGATATCCTGGAAGGGCCACTGCACAGGTCACAGGTCACAGACCACCACTCTAGTTTACTCAAACACCAGAGGGTAAGGAAAATATCCCAAAAACAAAGAAAGGATGTAGGAGGGCCTACAGCCCTAACCGTATATAACAGGGTCACAAACTCTGGTTTGGGAGAGCTGGACATCATTGGCAGTCCTCTCCCAGCAACTGCAGTGCTGTATTGATACTGGTTTTGTCTTTATAATAAACTCCTCTTATACAAGCAAGCCAGTGTCACGAAGCCTCCTTCTGCATCTACACATCGAGGACAGCCCAGACACAACACTAACCATCAAGCAAAAGTCACAGAGAGTGTTCTACTTAAACTGCTTTGGCTTGCCTACTCCGACTGCTGCTGCAAAGAGGAGGATTTGGGTTGTTTGGAGCCATCAAACCCAAAGATGGGGATAAATAAAGTTCCTATCTTACCTTATCTTAACAACTCCTTCCCTTTACCGGTGTCATGTGTATTGTCACTGCTACAACCTGGAGGTCTTTGCTATTGCTCTCCCTGCCTCAGTTCTTGAAGTGTTCATAAAAAAATAAAGAGGAGGTGTGCTCTCCTCACCTCAGGCTTTTGTATTTCAAGTATGCATGTGGAAGGGCAGGAGGCTCTCAGAACAGAGTCATACTAACAAAAATCAATCACTGCACATGAATTATTATATTTAGTGTGGTTCTGACTGAAATGCATTTAGGGTTTCATTATTAAACACCATAAAGAGTTATAGAGATATTTATGTAAAACTTGAAAGTTAAAAAAGCATTAAATTTTTACCATTTTTCATCAGAAAGAGAAAGTGTGCTGCTCCATACACAGCAGAGAGCCAACTCAAGTGGTTATGCTTGCTCAAGGGCACTTAAACAGTAGCTGTTTGAAAATGTAAAGTGTAAAAGGTTTTGTGTTCCCAGCCGCTTCAGCTGGAGGTTGTATCTGATGACCTTTTTTACATTTAGAAGAAGACAGAAGGAGGTGAAGTCTAGAGCACACAAAGAAGCAGAGCCAGAGCACAGCCATAATTGAATGAATTAGAGGGGCCAAATGTGTGTGACAGAAGGAATCCTCTATTTGTCTTTCCCTGCAGGAAGGAAGAGATGGGCAGAGAGGAAAGAAAGCCACAGTGAGTTGAATAAAAGTTCAAGCGCTGAGGTCAGAGTCTGAGTTCTGGGAATTCATGCTCGTCTTTGTGTGAGAGAGAAAGAGGGCGATTAGATAATTAAATTATAAGTCTGTGTTTCTTTTTGAGCAGAGACGAAGGACACAGATGAGAGCGAGAGAGAAAGAGAGAGAGAGAGACAGAGAGAAAGAGAAATGAACAAGCAGAGGGATAAAAATCTGTGTCATTAGTTGTTCATCCACTGCTTATCCATCCACACTTTTCATGTTCAAGTACATACATGACAAGCTTTAAGACTTACCTATGTGACAAATGGTTCAGGCCCATGTAGGACAAACATGACACCATTAATTCACACACTGGAAAAAGTGACTTTTTGGTGCAGTAAACTATTAGAGTAACAAGTTAAGTTAAACATTCTTTTTTAATTTTTTTTACGTAATACATGAATTACGGGGGAAGAGTAAGTTTTATATATACTATTACATATATTACATATACTATTTAAATGTTTAATAGTTGTCTGTTCATAAACCTACAAATACTACATAAACTTTCTCCGGAAAGGTCAGCGTTTTGAAACACATGCACAACGCATGTGCACTGTAGCCTACACCAGGACTGGCCCTGCTCTGAGTCAGGACATTAGAGGATCACAGAGCAAGGTAGGGGGTGGCAGTAGCTCAGGAGGTAGAGTGATGGTCCAATAACTGGAAGGTCGGCAGTTCGATTCCCCCCATCCTGAGTCTGTCTGTTGTGTCCTTGGTCAAGACACTTAACCCACTTTGCTCCCAGTGTGTGTCCTTCACTGGTGTATGATTGTGAGTGATGTTTGGTGGTGGACGAAGAGGCTATCTGCGAATAGGCAGCCGTGTCTCCGTCAGTCTGCCCCAGGGCAGCTGTAACTACTGAGGTAGTTTACCACCACCATGGTGTTAGTGTGTGAGCAAATGAACAATGTATCCGATATAAAGCACTTTCAGGGGCACTGGTAAAGCGCTATCTAAAATCTGATCAACCAATTGAATTAAAATGTCAAACACAAGAAAATAAATAATATCTACTTAATTACTTTTTGACAGCAAATAGTACAGAGATATCAAATGTACTTAACATTTTGAGCAAAATTAGGTTTCTGCATATAAAAAACAAGTAGACTTTACTTAATTTGTTTCAATAATTATAATTTAAAACTTGGATGTAATTAAGTAAATATTACTTAATATCTTCATAACTGTTGTGTTTTATGTAAAGTAAAATTTTCTTTGATACTGGCAAGTGAATATTACTTGATACTGCAGCATTAAATTTAACTTGCATCATTTGTGTGCAAATACTTAAAATTTATTTTTAAGTAAATCTGATGAGTTATTTTTTTCACTGCACAATCCAGGGTCAGATCACATAACAGGTAAGTATCATAGGACAGAAAATGAAGCACTGATACATACACTAATCAAAGGTGCAGTCTTTTCTTCTTATCCGGACTTTGGAGACAAAATTAAAAAGCTTGAATCAATTAAACAGCCAGTCCAGTTTTTGCTCATCTGGACTCCACATTATTTCAAGCTTTAACAAGCGACTTAATAAAACAATTCCTCCCTCAGCTCGTCATTTAATTACTCTTTTTATTGATGGATTAGTGATTTTATTTAAAAGTAACTAATTATCTTTTTATCATTTAAACTATATATATTTGATTTTTTTTATGTTTTAACTTAATTTTATGTCTTTTTTTACTGTTTTAATTATACACATTTTATTACTATTGGTGTGCTCCTCTGCATATCCTGTTTTCTCTATGTAATTGTCTCATTTTCTCTCATCATTCATCTTATTTGTATTTGTTTTGATTTCAATCTTGAATTGTGTTTGAATTGTGTTTAAAGTGCTTTAAAGAGACATCTCCTGGATGCGCTGGGACACATCTTCAGTAATGTTGTATCCTGAGGTCATTGGGTGTTTTGGGTCTCGCAACATCAGACATCCCTGCCCAGGTGACCCAACCAGGGTGATTAAGTCCCAGCTCGTGTCCCAGCAACCCACGGATCTGCCCTTTTCAGCCAAAGCCACCACGTGGCTTCCTCTGCAGCATCACTTGTTGATTGGATGGCCCTCTTCTTGGCCACCCCTTTGACGCCCAAACGGCCCAACACTTTCCAGAGAGTGTCCTGCAAAGCCTCTACAGCCAACCTCTGTGGGTTCATAGAATGTCCTCCAGCCCCTGCCTCTGCAGTCTTCCACCAGTTCCTGGTACTTAACGTGTTTCCTTTTGTTGGCTTTTTTAACCCGCTCTTCCCAGGGCACAGTAAGTTCCAGTATGATCAGGCGTTTTGAAGCTTCAGAGATAATGATCATGGCCGGAGAGATGTTTTCCCAGGTCAGCTCACAGCTGCCAATCAGGGGCTGTATGGAGGAGGACTGTTGTTGTTGTCTGTGGGCATGCCTGGGGTCTCTCTCTACCTTTAATGAAGGGGATTGCCTTCTTGGGTGCACGATGGTGTTTGCTGGTGCTGATGGCTGAGTCTATGCTCTCAGCAACTGCTTTTACTACCTGGTCATGGTGCCAGCGATAGGGACTAGCAGTCAGGGCCTTTGGGCAGCTGCCGAGACGATGTTCCGAGGAGACTCTAACAGAGCAAAGGGGATAGGAAGGTGTCTCACTCTTCCCCCACACATGGAGGTTTGCTGAGCTGTGGCGGACAGCTCAGCACTTCATCCAAGCCTGCTCGAACTTCGTTCTAGAGTAGGTGGTGTCTCTGTTTGCCCCGGGCCTGGCTGACTTGGCTCTTGGGGATGGAGCCCAGACCTGCTCTTCCTATTGCTAAGACCCTCAACAGTGTCTTTGCCTTAGGCGTGACTCTGCCACCTCCACTGCCTTTGTTGCCTTTCACTTCCTTCCTGTCCTCACTTCAATCCCGCCTGATCACACCTTGCAGTCCCTGGAATCTCTGTACTGTAGGGCTTCTCTTGCGCATGCCACCTTAAACTCTCCAGTGACCCCACAAGACTGGGCAAGATGGAGTGCTGGTAGAGCCAGGCTTTAATCTTCCTCCTGTCTTAGGGTCGGCACCGACCCATTTTTTATTTTAATGCATAAAAGAACCACCTAATTGTTTGTGTTAACTTGACTTTTTTACTTTGTCAGGAACCTCCATTTAAAAAAAAAAATTAAAAAAAAAAAAAGTTGACTAAATTATAAAATGCTCTAATTGAAATTATGGCACTTGTTTTGTTAGGGTCGCTGTCGACCCAGTTTGAAAAATAGGATTATATAGGATTGTGCAAAAATGAGAAGAGGATTAAAGATTTACTGTGGGCCAAGTTTTGGATAATATTTTTGGTGAAAATGAGGAATAAGACACAGAGCAGTATAGCGACATTGATGAGCAGGTGTCTGAAGAGGAAGATAATGTAGAGTATCATCCAGAAGAAACAGACATCTCTGATGAGTCTGATGGAGAGGTCACAGGTGGTGAAGCTGCTCCCGCTGAAATAGTCAAGTCCAAAAATGGTAAGACCTGTTGGAGCTCAGTACCTCATGATGTTCATGGCAGGGCAGCTGTGACATCAGTGACATCAAGTCATGTTTTGAGATGTTTATGCCATTGTCACTAAAAATAGTCATCATTGCTACACTGCCTATAAAAAGTATTCACCTCCCTTAGATGTTTTCTCCTTTATTGCTTTTCTAAATAAATTCATGGCCAATGTAATTTTATTTTCAAGAATTAACAAAAAAAGAAAACAACTCTTTCATGTCAAAGTAAAAACTGATTTTTATAAAGTGATGTCAATTAATCGAAACGTTTAGAAAATTTTAGAAAAAATTGATTACATAAATATTCACCCTCTTTAAGGTGATGGACCTTATTCAGCTGATGCCCAGCTTATGAATGCTGGTAGTCTCACAATAAGTGAAATGGAGATCACCCAAATGCAGTAAGTGTGTTGTTAGTGGCTGTTGTATCAAGATACCTGTGTTTGGGAGGGCCATTATCTGGTTCATCAGTGTTCCTGCTAAAATCGCACAACAAGACAGAAGAATACTCAAAGCAACTCAGAGAGAAGATTATTGATAAGTGGAAGTCAGGGGATGGCTGCAAAAAAAATGAGCAACTCACTGAACATCCCCCAGAGTTCAGTTAAATCCATCATAAAGAAATGAAAGGAATACGGCACCTGTGTAGATCTGCCCAGAGGTAGCCGTCCTCCCAAGCTGAGTGGCCAGGTAAGAAGGAGACTGGTGAAGGAGGCCACCAAGACACCTGCGAGTGCCCTGAAGGAGATAAAAGCTTCAGTGGCCGAGGTGGGAGAGACTGTACAAAAACCTAACTATTGCCCGGGTTCTTCACCAGTCAAAACTGGGAGAGTGGCAAAAAAAAGCCACTTTTAAAAAACAGTGGTAAGCCCTAGCCTGGTTTCACCCTCCTTTGCCCAAATTGTACATTTTATTACTTGTTAATTGGTGTGTGATTTTGTTGGTTTATATTCGCTTTTGAAATATTTTGTACAATAATATTTATTTGATTTGAGATGTCTCGCCCTGTGGTGTCCGAACCTGCGGGGTCGTTCACCTACTGCCGAGCACCAGTTAATTCACTGAGGCTAAGACAAAACAGAGCATTATAGTGCCTTTACATTGATACATGTGAATAAACTTTCCTGCAAGAGGGATTTAATTTCAGCTGATTTAAAGAAATACGCTGTTTGATATCATTAAAAGTAGCAGAATCCCCGCTACAGCTGCAATGTTCATTTATTTTTAATCCTTCCACTGTTCCGCGATATACAAGAATGGCGACTTGCGCTCGTTTAGCAGGCGTGCTGATTGCTGCCATGTTGTTTCTGCTGATGGTGACACACAGAGAGGTGAATTTTTCAGGGCAGGGGAGTGATTCTTTCTTCAGGACTTGGCAAATGAACGACATGTGTCACCCAATGAAATATGCTTTGACTTCAGCAGCTGGGGCTTGTTCAATGAACTAACTCGCGGCTGTGGCACTCACTTGCGTACTGCACCGGCAGGCTGGGGCTCCAAAGCACTGACTAATTCAGTGAACAAATCATTTTAATGAACAGATTCTAAAGATTCAGTACAGTCAAAAGAACTGTTCTTCCCATCACTGCAGTAAAATTGCCATCGTCTCCATCTCTCCACATGTGTATAAAATTTTGCATAAAGATCCAGTATTACTTTGTTGGGAATTTATTCCACACAAGCACAGAACTACACAACGGCTCTTACATTGTTTACAAAAAACTGGAATAATTATGAATGGAAGAGGACACTAAGAAGTTTGGTAGACAACAAATAATAATGCATCAGATTTCATATAGTGTTTTATCAGAGACCCTCAAAGTGTTTTGCATTGGATACATCATTCATTCACTCACACAGTCACACCTTGGTGGTGGTAAACTACCTTAGTAGTCTCAGCTGCCCTGGGGCAGACTGACAGAAACGTGGCTGCCATTTTGCGCCTACGGCCTCTCCGACCACCACCACACAACACTCACAATCATACACCAGTGGAGGACACACACTGGGAGCAAGGTGGGTTAAGTGTCTTGCCCAAGAACACAACGGACAGACTTGGGATAGGGGGGAATCAAACTGCCAACCTTCCAGTTATTGGACGACCACTCTACCTCCTGAGCTACTGCCGCCCAAACAAAGGGAGGAAGATTCATACTTCATAGCCTGGAGAAACAGGCAGGATGTTCCACTTCCCACCTCCTTTTGATTGCATGATCATCAACTCCAAGAGAAGTGTTGTATAAATGGAGTCTAAAATGTACTTCATGCATCTCACTTTGTGTGCAAGCTCAGACCATACTGCAATAAGGTTACAAGCTTGTTTCTGTGTGTATTTTAATCATCTACCATTCAGGAATGAAACAAGAGAAAGAAACAGGAGTGTGTTCTGTGTGTGGAGGATGGATTAATTACTTCAGGGTCATGAAAGATGGTGGAATTAGTGTTTTAGAGTTAAAAAGAGTAAGTTAATAACCATGTATAAAGTTTGGTTACAAAACCATTATACTGCATCAGCCACTCTGCCTCATGTTAGCTCTGCAGCACTTGTGAGTGAATGTTTCACAACCACATCTTTAATGTAACACTTTGGAAAAGTTTAGAGCAGGGATAACAGCCTTGTATAAAATTGAAACACTGCAACATTGAAAAAAGTCCTCTTCAATCAGCAACACAGCAGGTCTAGAGTCAGCAGGGCTGCAATTGCTTTGCTATGCTGTTAGAGAAAATGCATGTCAGCTATGTTGCTACTGGGTCAAAAGCTTTCATGGTACTATTACCATCACAGCAGTGGTGCCATGATTACGTGACTTATAGAATATTGACAACTCCTGTGAAGATAATGTTTTTCAGCCACATACCATGGAAAGTGAAGCTTCATTTAAAGTTACAACACTGAAACACAGTAACAGAGGAGCCAAAAGACGCCTCTGTGTCCAGTTCACAATCAGACACAGAGGCATCATCTGCCTCTCAAAGCAAGCGCAAAGTTAAATGACTCCTTATCTTCCGTGATGTGGTTATGTTTACACTGTTTAAACAAGACCCATTGTGCTGTTTTGTTATACATTTGTTTGATTTTATAATGTTGAATGTCTATACCAAACCATTTCACTATAATGAGATTAAATTGGCAGAATATCTGCACTCAGTTTCCAGGATCTCTGAATCAGAGATGGGCAGAAGTCACCTTTTTTGGAAGTTCAAGTGAAGTCACAAGTCTGAGTACAAGTCAGATCTCAAGGGCTCTATTTTGGTGCCTCGCCGGAGACGTGCCGCAAGCGCAGCGTCAGTCAGATCCGCCGCGCTGACAAGGCGTTCCCAAGCACATTTTGGTATTTTGGTGAGCCGCGCAGCCCGGCGTAAGTATCCCCCCTCCCTAACTCAGCTCCTCCCAGCACCATAAGTCGTAACGGGGAGGAGAAAGGGCGTGAAGTCGGTTTAACACAGCCGAGACCTGTTTTCACCAATCACATAGGCTCCTCTCCTTGCCTTTAAATCCGCCACAGGCGAGGCGTATTACTATTTTCATGAAGTAGTCAAAGAGATCAAGAGATGTCTTAAGACAGTAATGCCACAAGATGGCGACAGAGGGCAGCTCCTCAACAAGTGTCCTCCACACTCTCTCATATGAGCACAGATGGATTTAGTGTGCGTAATGTTGGACCCACTGGTAAGACAAACACCCTTTCCACAAATGAAGACACTCACATAAAGTTGCTCATATTCAAACCTCACGTGACAAAGGTGGGTTGAGCGCACAGATCACAACATAAACTCCAAAAATGGCATTAAAATTGGAACCATCTGTGCGTAAATGACGCATCGCGCTCCGTGACCTGGCTCTTTCTTTCATAGATGTTGGCATATAAAATAAATTTGGCTCACAAAACTGAATATTATAATATCTGTATGTCGGCTTAAAGTAGATAACGCATCTGAGCACTGAAACAAATCATCTGTTCAGCTGCAGCAGCAGCAAGACGGACAGAGGACACGGAGGCGTGTCCAGGTCGAGCTGTGCGAGAAATAAGAGGAAGAGGAAGAAAGAAAAGGAGGGAGACGAATTACATATCTAGTTAACTTCATCATGTGTGTTTATTTACTAGATATTTAATTTAATTTGATGCGGTTTCAGCTGTGTTGATTCGGTCAGGTTGTGTGTCCAAACGCGTGCCAAACGCGCTCATCAGATCACATATTGATCAGAATATATCGATATAGATCTAAATGTATGTGCTGACTCAGATTATTAGTTGATGATGATTATTTATTGCACTGAAATGTGCCTGACACTGTGGAAACCTGCCGGTGAGGCATCAGTGACGTATGTCGATACGCCGCCGGTCTACCAAAATACTACTAGACCAGCTGTGTTCCGCCTTGCGCTGAAAGCTGACCAGGTTTGAATCGGCGAGCTTTCAGCGCACTTTACACGCCGTTGGCGAGCACGAAAATGTCACTGCGCCATCTGATTCTGTCGACACCTCCCCCTGTCACACCACCACGCCCAGCTTGGCGGATCTCGGCTCGCCTCCGTGCGGCTCATGCCACGAAAATACCAAATTGGCCTTACGCTGGGCTCCGCTAGACGAAAATACAACTGCGCGGGGCTCGCCGCCCTCCGCCGCCTCACCGGCGCGAACGAAAATAGAGCCCCAAGTCTCTAAGTGCAGCAGCAGGTCCCAGACCATATCAATTAATTAACATTACTTTGTTCAAGAAAGGAACACTACATTGTAGCATCACATGAGCTACATTTTCCAGCTTTAATCTGTACATATTCAAAAGATGGTGTTTGTTTACAGTTTAAAGGATTTACAAAAAAATGTGCACATCAAATCCCAGATAACAGCCAGCACAGTTGATCATAACATGATTGCCATCTACAAGCCAAATAGCTCAGGATTTTGGAGTGTATGGTCAAATTTCAGTAAAGAGGTTTGGCAGAGGGCTGGGGTATGGGCGACAATGATAGACAACAGGGTCAAAGATTCTCAAACATCACAGCTCTTATGGGGTCTTCTCAGTCTGCAGAGTTCAGGACCAACAAAAAGTGACTCCAGGAAGGACAACCCTGACAGATTAACAGGGTTGTTACCAGAAAAGTGCTTACTGGTGTATGTGGACTGAACAGAAGTGTGAATGGAGCTCTGACTGCTGGAAAGGTAAATGCTGGTTCTGATAGGAAGCTGTCAGAACACGCAATGAATGCCACTTTGTTGTGTATGGGGCTGCGTAGACATAGACCAGTAAGAGTCTTCATGTTGGCTTACCAAAAGTGTCCACAAAGGAGGAATGAATGTCAGAAGTTCACCAGAAACAAATGTGAGAAGTTGGCCTGGAGAAACACAACAATGTTGACTTCAATCCACCAGGTTTTAGTCCATGGAGCACCTATGGGATGTGCTGGACAGTCAAGTCTCATCCGTGGATACTCCATCTTACAATGATCAGGACTTGAAGAACCTTTTGCCAACATCTTGATGCAAGATAACTTAGTACACCCCATTAGTCTAGCAGGGTCTGAGTCTTTTAAGTTCACAGCTGTTTTGGCCTTGACCTAATTAGAGGTGTTTAACACAACATCAATCAGGCAGTGATGAATGTCAATTTAACACTATGTACATTTTGGAAATTAACACTTAGAACTTTGCTGGATTGCCGGTGATCCCATGTGACACCATTAACATTGTTTACAGTTTCTTGGGAACTATACTGTGTATCTCTGTGGGATGAAAGTATTCAACAGCTTACACTTTTGGCTATCTAACAAGAGTTTCCAGGCATTTCTACACCTCCCGCAAGGTTTACAATCCAGCCATAAAAATAGGTGTTTGATCAGAGACTTTTGATGGTAAATCCGCGAGGGATATACCGGTGAAAACATGATTATCATATTTTTGTGATAAAAAAACGATCACTATTGCTATTGCTAAATCCCACTTATGCCTTCCAGGTTTGACGAGCTGTTTTGATGATGTCTTTTTCTGTCGAACTTTCGACCAATTACATGGTCTCATATTCTTCTTCTATTGTTCCCTTGACAGTAGGGTCCAATAAGAGGCAACCAAAGATCAATAAGAGACAAGAAAGTTCCCTGCTTGTCTGCAAAATAAATAATGGTCCTCAATGTTTGGAAACAAGCAAAGAAGAGATTCTGAGCAGAATGTGGCCCTCTGTCTCATCCCAGACAGGAACTGCTTCAAGGAGTGGCATAAACAACTGTAAATAGCAAAAAACGCCTAGAATAATTAGTGTAAATATGTCAATAGTTTCTGTTGTGTGTTTGTTCCAATACCAATATTTCTTCTCCTAATCGCCAAGACTTAACAGAATGATGTGCAGGTGAGAAAAGGCTTGGTCACCATGTGTTTTTTGAGCACAGTACTGTTGGTATTAATTTCTGTTTTTCGTTTTTTTGGTGACTTTGATGGTTCTGAAACTACTGTCACATTAATTGTACATAATTTTTGCACCCATAAACTGACAGCTGAGGTTGTCGTGGAAAATAAGATATATATATACTTGCTGTGTTTGAAAGGATAGAGTTGTTCCACAGATTTTTACAAAAAAAATAAAAAATAAAAACAGGCAGACCAAAAATAGCTGGGTGTACCTTACAGTACTTCATTGAGCCTTCATGTGCTTTCAGGTTGAGCGCCTTATCTTGATTGAAAACAAATCCTCGAGAAGACTCAGATCAATTGGCATCTGTAGTAAGATGCTGCAGATGTTTTATCAGTCTGTGGTGTCTGCAGTGTTCTGTTCTACGCTGCAGTCTGCTAGGGAGGAAGCATCAAACACAAAGATGCAAGACGTCTGAACAAACTGGTGAAAAAGGCTGGCTCTGGGGTAGGACTCAAGCTGGAGGATGTGGTGGAGCGAGCTACACTGAGGAAGGTGGAGTCTATTCTAAAGAACATGGATCACCCACTCCACAACACCTTAAAGTGGACCTGCAATCAAAATTTCATATCCATTTTTATGTCCTCTGATCATGTTTGCAACATAATTTTAGCTGAAAAGTTATTTGATGGTTTGTTTTAGTATGCCTAAAAAACCTTACAGGAAAACCAACTGATTTTGACTCATTAACATTTATGGTAATGAGCTTTGCTCTGATTGGATCGCTGCTGTGAAGCCTGCTGTGCTCTGATTGGCTCAGCAGTGGAGGTTCGGATTTCGGTTTATCCATTTTGCTAGCGGGGGGATGGGGGGGGTGGGTGATCACAGACAAAGTCTCGGTACTATTTAGTAGCAGCGCAAGCCCCTTGTAATAACCCCCTTAAAAACTGTTGTTCAGGACTGCTTACTTGTGCTTCCTACCTATTCGGCTACTGTAATAACCGTTGTTCGAGCCCACACGCAACATTTTTGCTCTAATCCATGAAACGCTTAAATCGGGGACATTTTCGGGGACAGCTTTTGCCGGGGACAGGTCATCCAATACGGGGACTGTCCTGGAAATCGGGGACGTCTGGTCACCTTATGCTAAAGGCTAAAAACGGCAGGTATTAAACCATATATTTTAGACCCCGAGTCCGAAGGGGAGGTGGAAGTTGAAGAAGAAGCCAGAGATCTCCAGCTGTGTTTTCATTCATTCTGCCCAGCTTTAAGTTCATTTTCCCGGCAGTGAACCGAAGGAAACACCGGTCGTTTGGAAGAGACCCATAGCGGATACAGTGGTAGCTGGGACTCGCTCTGGCTGGAGAGTGATATGATGACTGTGAATGAGTACGAGAACGAGAGAGTGGGCACGGCTCACCGAGGACGCGCTTGTGAATAATAATGAGCAAGGTCAGCGTGACGTCAGAAGGACCTGCTTTTTCAATTGGCCTGGTTTACCTGTTTCTTTATTTTAAACCTTTACAGAAGGCAAACGACGTAACGGTTTGTTTTCACATTTACAACATAAGACGAACATAATATGGAACTTACCTGACACAAAAACACACAAAATTACATTTTTGATGGCAGGTCCCCTTTAATGGACCAAAGGGCCAATGGTGGTGGACAGTGGTCTCTCTTCGCTGCTGGACAGAAAGATTCTGAAGATCTTTTGTACCAACAGCCATCAGACTTTAAAACTCTTCTATAAATAGTAGATCTCATGATAATTCACACAATCAAATTTCCTGTCGCCGTTTTCTTCCAATCAAGAGGACGTTCAGCCCGTACAGTAGGCTTGCCATGGGTTATTGGCTGATTAATCATTTCTACTTTGCTCCCTGTGCCATTTCATAACTATTTCATCATGTTTTAGACAGATCCCAACAGAGAGCTTTTTATTTGATCTAAAAGTGATGTCGAATGGGCTCAACAGTTTCACCAAATCACCCCAGGAAACATCCATCTCCCCCAAGAATTTTTCAAATATTGCACGCATGTTTCCAAAATTGGTTCATGTTTCATTTGAAGTTCTTGATATTTAAATTTTGGAGGGGGGGTTAGATAATCCCAAAAGGAAACACCAAAGCTTTGTTAGTATAATTTAAGTGAAGCACCTCTTCGCAGCTTATAAGAAACATCAGTCTAACTTGTTTCAGTGGGATGAGTTTTGTGGCATGGACACACACACACACACACACACACACACACACACACACACACACACACACAGCATCCCAAAACCAATACATTTGATGCATACAAGTTGGGATGATCTTCTTTCATTGTTCAATATTCATGTGGCATTTCATCTCACAGATAAAGTATTGTTAAAGCAAAATCCACTCTGAATCTCTCCGAGGCAGAATTAAATATACACACAAGACTTGGAACTAGAAACGAGAAGTCTCTCTGAAGACATTGTTGAGCTATTTCTATGAACCCTGCTTGGATGTCTCTCTGTGATGAAAATTATGTCTAATTAGTCTTGCCTATGGGAGTTACATTTCACTGTGGTGTAAGCCTTAAACTTGGTTTGTTTGAATGCACAACAAATGTAAGAGTTCTGGTTACTGCAGGCTGCAGTTATGCAGGGGTTTTAATGAGATGTGGTGTGACCTCTGCTCCGATCTGTGCTTTTTCTCATGTTTATCAGCATTTCGATCAACTGGGGAGAGATTCTTAACTGAGCTCCTCTTGTCCAGCTTGCTAGCGATATGTGTATCTGGAATCTGCAGTAAAACCCTTCACTAACTTTAGCTTGGCTGTTTTCATTTTGTGTTGATACCCAAACAACAGGAAATAATAATGCACATTGACTTTGAAGCAACCTCTTTATTCTGAGTCTAGATAGAGGTCAGATCTGAGATACAAGAGGCAACATGGGGGACAAGTATGATCAACCAAAGCAGCTAACAACATATTACTTTTTACAAAGAGTACACGGTTAAAGTTACTCCTGAAAGATACCCTACAGAAGGACACCTACAAGAGCTTTATAACAGATACGTTAGAACACCTTTAAGAGCCCCTGACAGGAATTTCAAAGTACATTTGCTTTAAAGCAGTCTCTAAAGGGTACCTTGAAACAGACCTAACTCTTAAAAAGATTATTAAATGGGCCTTAAAACAGAAACAAGAGGGTCCCTCGAATAAAACGATGACTTGCAGAATTGGTACAACAGAACTTAAAACATACATTGAAAGCTTCAGTTAAAAAGACAAAACTACACGTTAAGTAGAAAAAATGCCTTAACCACTTGCGCCCGGTGCGGGCAAGACTGTGGCATGACCCTCTTCTGGTCATCTCCAGCCTCTAGCTTTACAAGGATGAGATGAAACAACAGATTTGTCTCTGATTTTGCTACAGGGGGGTTAGAGCATGTCTAAAATGTTTTAATATTTCACTGACCTTTATCAATAATTTTTCAGATTTTAAACACTTTTACACATTTTAAATGCGCTGCGGACATGAGCGACTCCAGTAGAAAAGGGGAAGCTGAAGAAGCCGTCATGTAACTCCACCCCACTATTACATATCAAAACACATCAGGACATCCTCCTCTTTCAAATGAGACCGGTCTTACCTCACTACAATGTATACATACCCCTCCAGTTTCACAATGGTAAGCAGGTAAAGTTTCCACGGGAACAGAAAAAAGAAAAAAAAGGAATCCATTCTCGTCATTTTCCACAGCGAAACTCACAGGTAAACTTTGTTTTCATTCTTTTTCCCCATAAAGTTCCCCACAAGCTAACACAACAGACATTTCCTTCTGATTGAACCACAAAAATGCCTCTTGAGCTGACAGACATTCCAGTCTGACCAACCATTGCCCAAAGCTCACTGTCCGTACCTGCCCATCTATACAGCGATTGGATGAATCAATTCAGGTTTGACTGTAGTTGATGCATTCTGCCAATGTAAGACTCTCAGACAAGGGGTTGATCCAGGTAATCTCCACCGATTGACTGAGATACATGCCTGCGCAGACTTGCAGCGCTAAGCCAAGTAGCTACGGCGATGCTAAATGCTAACATTACCGATTTACTTTGGGTATGTAATTTCAGGCGGAAATAACCCTGAAATAGCTCAGGGTCCAAGTGGTTAAAGAGGGAGTATTATGCTTTTTTTTTCAGACTCTATACTTCCTATCTGACACCTCTTAAGTTATTACTTGCACCCTGGGCTTATTTCCACCCGAAATTACATACCCAAGTAAATTGTAATAGCTCATCAACTGTAGGGCCTAGATGCACAACCTTGGTGTCTATGGCAAGGTAATACCTTGTAAAATCTAGATCAAGTGAAAGACTGCCTGGGTACAAAGAAACTTAACCTGTTGCCTCAGCAATGAGGTCTGACAATTTCCTCTCTAAATGCCTTCTGTCTCATAGGGATCTGGTCTTTAGCCCTTGTCAGCTCCTTGTGCAGGATATACAAGTTTACAATCGCAATGTCAAGAAAGTGTATAAAAAAACATCTTGTACCAGCGTATTGTTTTGCTGAGTACTGAGTAGTGCTGAACGAGGGCATCAGACAGGTCAATACCACCCATGTACTGGTTGTAGTCTTTGATGGGATCAGGGATTGGGACAGACTTCCTGGACAAGCCATCAGCCTCCTTCATTCTCCTGGCTCTATTTTCGTGCCTTGCCAGACGATGGCGACAGAAGGCAGCTCCTCAACAAGTGTCGCTGTAAGCGCTGCAGAGGGCGTCCTGCATACTCTCTCATATGAGCACAGATGGATTTGGTGTGTGTAATGTTGGACCCACTGGTAAGACAAACACCCTTTTCCACAAATAAAGACACTCACATAAAGATGCGTATATTTAAACCCCACGTGACAAAGGTGGGTTGTGCGTACAGATCGCAACATAAACTCCAAAAATGGCATTAAAGTTGGAACCACCTGTGCGTAAAGGACGCATCGCGCTCCATGGCCTGGCTCTTTCTTTCATAGATGTTGGCATATAAAATAAATTTGACTCACAAAACTGAATAACTCGCATGTGGGCCTGACTCCGGATTGTATATTTACAGAATCTTAATGATGTGAGAAAATCAGATAAACAGGTAATTTTGAGTGAAAGTTTATTTTTATTTTATTTTTTGTTCAGATTTTCGAACTAACTCTTCTGATCACTAAAATAAAACATCTGGTCAGCCGTGCCACCACAGCAGCAGCAAGACGGAGAGAGGACACAGAGACACGTCAGGTGGTGTGCCATAGAATGCACCCCCTGACGGAAGCGCGGTTGAAAGTACACAACAAGGCGAAATAATCCAAGTTTTCCTTACCCTATGATAGATTCAAAAGCGTGTGCTTTTAACGATTTCATTCAGGCTATTCAGATAAGCCAAAAACAATCGCCCTCTGATTCAGAATATTTGCTGCCCTGAAAATATATTGTTCTCTACCATAACAGCTTACTGTACAGTTTATATACCCAAGTACACCTCTGTATGTGCATTTTTTAAATACCAAAAAACAAGACGAAAGTTTTCTGCTCCATTTGACATGTTGGGCTCTATTTTCGTGCCTCGCCGGAGACGTGCCGCAGGAGCAGTGTAAGTCAGGTCCACCGCGCCGACAAGGCGTTCCCAAGCACAATTTGGTATTTTTGGTGAGCGGAGCAGCCCGGCGTAAGTATCCCCCCTCCCTAACTCAGCTCCTCCCAGCGGCGTAAGTCGTAGCGAGGGAGGAGAGAGGGCGTGGAGTGGGTTTAACACAGCTGAGACCTGTATTGTACAATAAAATCAGCTCCTCTCCTCACCTTTAAATCCGCCATTGGCGAGGCGTATTACAGTTTTCGTGAAGTAGTCAACGAGATCAAGAGATGTCTAAAGACAGTAATGCCACACGATGGCGACAGAAGGCAGCTTCTCAACAAGTGTTGCTGCAGAGGGCATCCTCCACACTCTCTCATATGAGCACAGATGGATTTGGTGTGTGTAATGTTGGACCCACTAGTGAGACAAACATCCCTTTCCACAAATAAAGACACTCACATAAAGTTGCATATATTCAAACCTCACCTGACAAAGGTGGGTTGTGCGAACAGATCACAACATAAATTCCAAAACTATCATTAAAATCGAAAACATCTGTGCGTAATGACGCATCGCACTCCGTGGCCTGGCTCTTTCTTTCATAGATGTTGACACATAAATGAAATTTGGCTCACAAAACTGAATATTATAATATTCGTATGTAGGCCTAAAGTAAATAACTCAGATGATCACTGAAACAAATCATCTGTTCAGCTGCTGCAGGACGGAGAGAGGACACAGAGACATGTCCAGGTCGAGCTGCGCGAGAAATAAGAGGAAGAGGAAGAAAGAAAAGGAGGGAGACGAATTACATATCTTGTTAACTTCATCATGTGTGTTTATTTACTAGATATTTTATTTAATTTAATGCGGTTTCAGCTGTGTTGATTCGGTCAGGTTGTGTATCCAAACGTGTGCCAAACGTGCTCATCAGATCAGATATAGATCAGAATATACCTATATAGATCTAAATGTATGTGCTGACTCAGATTATAAGTTGTTGATGATTATTTATTGCACTAAAATGTGCCTGACACTGTGGAAACCTGCCTGTGAGGCATCAATGACGTATGCCGATATGCCGCCGGTCTACCAAAATACCACTAGACCAGCTGCATTTCGTCTGCACTGAAAGCTGACCAGGTTTGAATCGGCGAGCTTTCAGCGCACTTTATACACCGCTGGTGAGCACGAAAATGTCACTGCGCCCGCTTATTCTGTCGAGACCTCCCTCTGCCACGCCACCACACCCAGCTTGGCGGATCTCAGTGCGCCTCAGTCCACGAAAATACCAAACTGGCTGTAAGCCGGGCTCCGCCAGACGAAAATACGACTTCAAGGGGTCTGCCATCCTCCACCGCCTCACTGGTGTACACCAAAATAGAGCCCGTTGTCATGATCCAATACTCGTTTTTTTTTTTTTTTTATATGAGATCATTTTCTTCCACTTTAAGAAGCTAATGAGTGGATGGGATGCAGGGGATGCTTTCTATGGCAGGGGTGCATTCTATGGCACAACACCTTTCGAGCTACGTGAGGAAGAAGGAGGATAAGCAGGGAGACCAATTACATACATCAATATAGATCGAAATGTATGTGCTGATTCAGATAGTTGCTCTGAGTAGTGGTCGTTGATGATTATTTATTGCACTGAAATGTGCCTGAACTCTGGAAACCTGCCTGTGAGGCATCGGTGACATATGCACACTACGCCAGTCAACAAAAATACCAAACTGGCTGTGCGCTGGGCTCTGTCAGACGAAAATACCACTGTGCAGGGTCCGCCACCGTCTACTGCGTCGCCGGCGGGCACGAAAATAGAGCCCTATGCATCACAGAGTTCCCACTGTAGGCCTTGTGTATAGTGTTACACACACCTCTCTCGTGTCTTTCCACTTAAAATTAGGAACAACATCTTTCCTCAGCCATCCTCACATCACCTCACCTCGCAATCTGAGGGAAGTCATTTAGTTTTTGGAAAGCCAATTCCCATCTGCCTAATAGTCCCACAGGCCTTGATGTTCTTCCCTGCCAGGTCCTTGTACAGGAGAGGGCTGGTGGAAAATTTTTAAGTATAGTTCCCAGCAAAGGAAAGTCCAACAGTCTCATCACTAATGCATAACCAAGACCCAAATCTGATGTGATAGCATCTTTCCCCTCCATGCACAAAACATGCCATGTGTACCCTGTGGTTGAATCCGCAGGCACAAACAATTTAAAACCAAATTTGGAGGGCTTGTTCTTCATGTACTGCCTGAATGAAATCCTTGCCCTGTTAACAACCATCCTTTCATTGACACTAATTTGTCTCCAAGGCTAATCTTTCTCTGCTCATGTGGCAGCGAGGGAATGGAAGATGGTAGGGGAAAATACAAGTCTGGCCTCTCATAAACACTAAATAGTCCATTAAAAAAAACACCTGCCACAAAAAAAAAAAAAAAAACTCATTAGATGTGAGGGTAAACCACTTGAATTTCTTTCCAATATCTTTAGTTTCTGGGCCTGTTTGTTTTTTGTGTCTAATGAGGGTGGCAATGAGTGGCATGGACCAAAGAAAAAGGCCAAAACAAACAATCTAATGGGGTCCAGGATATTAGAGAATCAATTTGAGGACCTGGTAGCTATTTTGACTCAAACTTCAATTGAGCAGGCTCCCCATCTTGCCCCTCTGTAGAGACCACTTCTCACTCCCTCCATTAGATGAGGGACCTGCCCTTCTTTACTGTGAGGCAGCTGCCTTCAGTCCAGTAGGAGCAAAGTCAACATCCTCCTTACTGTGAGAGATACACAATCAGATCATTTTGAATGCAGCTTCACCCTTTATATATCACTGATGTTGTTGTATCCCATCTGTCCAGGATGTGTAGATGGAGAAAGAGACTACATGACACTAGCTTGCTTGTATAATATACATCGATACAAAGACAACACCAGTATCAAAACAACACTGCAGATGCTGGGAGATGACTGCCAATGATGTCCTTCTCCCAGGTCTCAGTTTGTGCTGCTGTTATAAAGAGTTAAGAGGTGAAGTTCTTCTTACATCATCATGCTAGACAGGTCACCTTACCTATTGTATTTCCTTTCGGGGCTAAATAAAGTTCTTATTCTTATTCTTAACCTTGAATGAGGGGGAGTTGGCTCCACTGTGCGCCTGCCTTTCACACCTGTCTCTGGCTGCTCTTCCTCAATATACTTATCATCCTGGCCAGACCATTTACTATTTATATATAATTCTAATTTTAGAATCTATCAAATGTAATAACAATAAATTAATGGTGGCCAGACAAAAATAA